ATGATATACTGAAAATATCTAACAAAAATACAACTTATCCCGAAATATTATATGGAATATATGTTAATCTTGTATATTAATACTGTGGAAACAATATGGCGTTTGGACTTTGTGATTCAGACAGCCAATGGAATGAGACTTTTCAATGTCGCCTCTCTTGTAAATCCAGGGCTTTACTTGCAGCGCTCCTAGCCTAACTTAATTAGAAAAAATGTGTGGAAACCGTTCTGCAATCGACTAGACAATGTATTATTATTGCGGGAAGACGATGGTAGTTTTCAGAAGACAGAGTTTCGTGCGCGCACGAGAACTGAGATTGGCGCGAGATGAAAGTTTCATCTTGCGTTCCCAATGAAATTCAATTTACACGCCATTTCCCGAGCAATGCATTAATCGGTGGAAGAGCTCAAGCATCTGAACGTCCACGTGTCGCTTGCCTCGAAGTGGGCCATCCTAATTATCGTAATGACGGATCGTCCACCGTGGCTCTAAGGATTATTATAACTTCGCTCGCAGCGCAGCGTGTTAATTAAACTTCCTCTAAAATAAACGCGCGGCTCGTATTCAAATTATACTCGTTTGCAAGTCGGGATATCGTCTCCGTCGGCGAAAATAATGTTGCGCTCGATTCCACTAGCGACGGCTTCCACTATTAAATCAATTAACCGAACGAACGAATCCGCGTACGTCGTCTGTGCGCGCGTTCGCTCACGAGGGGCGCGTTACTTTTCAAGTATTAATTATCCCCCGTCTATCGTGCCTCTAATTAAAGCCCGCGGCGACTTGGCTTTAACCGGCGCTTAATTCGACGCGTTTGATTTACCGTCCCGGCCAATAACTGCATTATCCGTGGGCGACTCCGCGCTTCCGCGATCGATCGATTGTGTGCGGCAGCGACCATGTTGATGCAAAGCGTGGAAACGTCAGGATGTGTATCGGTATCGAGGCATTAGTCAACTTCAACAGGCAGGCCCCGGTTGAAAGCGGGATCGAAACGACAGTGCTCGAAACGTTATATTCACGGGGGGACAACAACCTCGGTCAATGCGGTTTGGTCGATCGTTCGCGGCGATCGATCCGCCACTCGCTCGGTGTCTCGAGGTCCTTGACGAACCGAAGGACTTTGAAGATCGACCATTATCGCCGAGGACGAGGAGAAGGGATTGAGTAGGAGGGGGG